CTGTGAGCCGCCAGCTTCTCTAGGAGAAGCGAGCTGATAGGAGGAAGGGGGAAAGTGTGAGACCTTGCTCCCTGTACTGAGGAAAGGGGTGACTGGGAGGAGATGAAGAAGAGGAGTAGGCTGTGCAGCTACATGCCTCCAGCTGAGTTGTGGTCTCTATTCAAGGTGCCTGCATTCTGCCTAGGAGATCCTGGCAGGGATAAAGATGCACGTCTTGGGCTGCTTTGGCACAACAGGATCAACCCATTGGGAACATGCTGCCTTCTCTTGCTCTGTGCCACTGAACTGTTGTGCACACAGTAGTCATTTATCTGTGACTTCTGGGCAAACGCACTAACTTACATAGTGCTAGTGGGGGTGGGGCAACTCTAAACCACCTTAATCCGCCCCCAGTACATCTTTGCTTGGGCAGTCTGCTGGGAACTAGCACTTGACGAGGTCCCATGCTGTGCCTGTCTGCCACAGGATGCCCCATGTCCTGCTCCCCACTGGCTGTTGCAAAATAAGGGCTCAACTCCCAGCTTCCATCTCTTCCAGGCTCTCTGTACATGCCTGCAGTTGGGCTGGTCACTGTTTTCCTGGCATGTTTCTGGCGTAGTCTTTGCATCTCTGGAGCCTTGAATTGGAGCTTGTTCTGGCCTTTGGGAAAGATGGGCAGGATCCCCATGTTGGTCCTTGCTTTTTTCCCCCATTGTGTGAGGAAGAGTATTTGGTTTTGCCACATGTTTTGGCTTGCCATTGCCCACATTGCACAGTCTTCTCACGCTCATTTCTGTAACAGTTGCCACACTGAACAGATATGGCTGATATTACTGTGGGTGCTTAGAAAAGGAAACATTGACTCACTAAGTTTGTTGGTTTTGCTTTTTTTCATTGGTACCCAAACTCAGCAAGTTGCCAGGAAGTGTGGTACTTCATATGATCACTCAGTAGAATCAAGATAAGAATCTTGGGTATGTAATAGTATTGATCTAGGGTGAAAAATCGTGTTTGGCACTACAAAAGGTCAGCCGGGCTATGCTGTGCTGGCCTTCTTTCCCTGAAGCAGCACAGTTGTGGTGGGGATTTTGCAGGCCCTTCCCAGACAGCACATGGTCCACGCGACAGTTGTGTCGTAACATAACAACTGCCATCAAAATACGGAAATGGAAGCTAGCTGGTAACAAAACACAGGTATTAAGAGAAACACACTAGTAAGCCTAGTTTCAGCCTTTTCTTTATATTTACCACATTTCTGTCTCTCTGGCTTTGTTAAGGTTTGCTTCGTTTCAAAAAGGAAAGAATATGGGATCACATCAGGACCATTTCCAAACAATACCTCAATATCTAGGGTAGAAGGATGGTCCATTCGATTCATTCAGACACCTACTTCAGCCATGCCAATTTAGTTATTTTGAGAGTGAAAGAAAAAAAAGAGAAAGGATATGTAGTCTTTCGACCTAATCACACTTCTATTTCAAAAGTTTGTAATATTTTAATTACAACTTAATGTCATTGTAGTTCAGCTTGAATGATAACAAAAGCACGGAAGTGTAATGGCAAATTTTCTAAAGATTCAGTACTTTGGGTGTTGTGCTTGCTTGAAAATTTGGCTGTACCATTGCAGGCAGAATTCTGAACAGCCTTTGAACAGGATGCTTAATAAGTTCCCTATGCAGTTTCTATGTGGCTTTTTTTGAACGATTGTTCCCAGGTTAGTGTTTGAAAGTTCGGCATGGTTGTTTTAGTGAAGTGTTTGAGGCTTTTAATTAATTTTAATTAAGGAAATATTTTTACGAGTGCTAGGTATAACTCACTTGTCATTGTTCTAAGCAAGGGACGTGGTACAAGGTTTATTTATCCAGCCAGGGATGCTGTAACAGAGCTTAAAATAAAGTGGTGTCCTCTTACATGTGTTGGGAACAGTGAGTTCTGAGGAGGGGATGAGAGACGTTTCTCGTGCTAAAACCAGTACTAAATCTTTTAGTAGCTCTTATGAGTTAAAAATATGCTCCAATGCCGAAGAATCAAACATGCATCATTTTTTGACTCCTTGGCCCGTGCCTAGTCTGTGTCTTGAAAGTCTCCCTGAAATGGAAAAGTTGTCGTATCTGTTTAGTCTGCAGCCTGTAGGGAAGATCTGGCAGTGGGTTTTGGGAGGGAAAGTCCTGTGACATCAGAACCTCCCTCAGGGTCACAAGATGAATTGCATGAAATGCCAGCCTGAGCTGGGCTGTAAGACTAACTGTGTTGTATTGTAACTCCAGCAAAAGAAGATTACTCTCTGAGGTTTGCTCAGTAGTTTTGAAAGATATAACTGAAGGAATAACTGAACTGGAAAGTGAAATCTAGAAGGAAATATAAAGGAGGATCCTGGAAAAGAGTCGGCCTTATGGGAATTCATTACTAAACAGGATCTGAAATGCTAAAGCATCTCTCTATTGCTCATTTGAGATGATAAAGACTTTAATTTTATTTTTGACTTTTACAGAATTGCAGGTGTCACAGAGAAGAATAATCTTCATCAGCCCAGTGGTCATCAAGGATATGAACTCTGCTGTTTTTATCTAGATGGATGAAAAGGTTAACAGCCCAGAAGGGGAGCTCCTTTGGTTTTCAAGATGGCAGCAACTAGTGGCGAAAGCCAGCTGCAGCGGATTATCAGAGACTTGCAAGGTACAGTGCCATGCTGACAGATTCATTCTGTAAGCTGGACTGCATCCTCCATGTTTTAGATAATAGAGAGTAGGAGTTGTGTTTTCAGTTGTGTGCAGCAATTGTAGCAACATAGTTCAAGGCGTGGGATTTGCTCATTAGAGATGTGACTGATTCTTTTGTGAGAGATGAGCTGTACCTTCTGCAGGATCCTAAATTCTTAAATCCTGCAAATTTAAACGTACAAGATGAAAAATAAGTTTTACAATTAAAAAATAAGTGTCTGTAGGGTGTGCAATGTGAGCTAGGACTTTGTCGGCATGAAAAGAGCTATGCTGTTACAAGAATTCATGTGAGATAAGGAGAAGATATGATTTTTAGACCCTCCCTTCATGGGAAGCTGGTGTGGAGTTGCTGTTAATGTAGGAAAGGAAAAAACCAGAAGGCCAAACCAAACTGGGAATGGAGACCCAGAGGAAAAGTGATGGAGAATTGGATCTGCTGTTCTTGCTGCAATGGAACATGCTTTCTGTGCGCCTGACTTGTCCTCCACTAGCAGTAGCCACCTCATTTTCCACAGCTCTGTTGCAGGCAAAATTGGCAGCAAATTCATAACATTTTCCTGCTCTGTCTCTGTCCTAATCAGCTGCCTATACCAAGATCCAGATATCTATCCTTTTAATTTTTATTAAATATAAGGTATGTTATGCACCAAAGCTGGGAATCTAGATCTCCCTGTAACATAAAAAGGACATCTACGTGCCTGCTAACAAGAAGAGATTTTAATTTGCAAAGGGGATCGAGTGGGACTGGGAGCTAAGGCTCACTCAGGCATCTGAAAGACATACAAAACCACGTGGAAAGGAAGCTCAAAATCAGTAATTTCTGATGCTGAGAAGTACACCCTTTTGGGGCCAGGGTGTCTCACCCTTTGCGAGACAGCAGAGTTTGCTTTGACTTGAGATTTCCTCACCCACTACAGGTGTAGATTTTAGGGAAAAGGAGTTGCTGTATGCTTATTTTTATGTAAATTATTTTTCCCATTTCTGTTTTGTAACCAGCACAAGCTGAACCTTCCTGAATAAAGCATGGAGAAGATAAATGTGCTGAGTGAACGACTGTTCTCGTGTTACTGATCCCCTTTAGCAGATTACGTGCTTTGTCCTTTCTAAACAGAATTCTGTTTGTCCTGTGGCAATGCCTTAATGTGCACATGAGACAGCAAAAAGTTATTTCTCTTTCCTCTACTGAAGAACCAGTTAGCAATTGTCTGTTACCAGTTTTTGCTATGTGTCAGAAGGAGGTTTTTTGTTTTTTTAAGAAGTAGTAGTCTCTATACATAGCTTGAGCTCTATTTTTTTTATAGGTGGTGTTAAATTGCAAGCATATCAACAAGCTTTTTGCACTGTTGTTAAGACAGTTGGACTGAAAGAAACTGAATACACATGCACAATGCAGAAAACCCATTTATTTAGTTGTTTATGGATTCAGTGCTGTATATCTCTTGCATTAGTTAACCATTTTGGTGTCTTGTTTTAAAGATGCTGTGACTGAATTAAGTAAAGAATTTAAAGAAGGAGGGGAACCGATCACAGATGACAGTGTCAACTTGCAAAAATTCTCCTACAAGCTTGAGTACCTCCTACAGGTAAAAAGTGATGTGTGTCATTTGTAATCCACCATCAAAGCTTTTTTGTTTTCTCTTATTGCCTCTTCAGTATGTGGGGTTTAACTCAAATAATCATAAATATCCAGCTGAGTCTCTCTTTTTTTTTTTTTTCAGTAAGATGACTGAAATGTGTGCTGCTTATTATACTTATCTCAAGTGAAAGTAAATAAATGTAACCAAAAGGCAGTGCTGGCAGTTTGATTGAGGAATGTAAGGCTTTTTCTATTGATCTGAAAGATTTGAGCTTGATTTTAAAGATAGATCCTGCTAAATTATCTTGGAAAAACTGGTAATGAAATCTTGACAACATTTTAATGCAAAATAAATACTAGTAAGCTGTTCACGGTGCAAATATAGTGGTGTGAGTAATTTACAGAATTTTTAGGAATTTCACTTTGGAAATTCATTTTTATTGTATGGAAAGCTTAATGCGAAAGGCTGATTTTTAATCTGGAATGCTGCTTTTTGGCTAACCTCTAAATTTTAGTAAAAGGGGACACTGCTGGACAAACTGAAATTCAGTTTGCATAGTCTTGTGTCTACACATACTGTAATCATGTCACTGATTGCAACACAGACATGCTAATCTAGCCTTAATCTAGGCAAGGGAGTTTTAATTGGGTTGCAGGGGCTTCAGCAGAAGCTGAAGAATCCTTTGGGATTTGAACGGTCCAAGCTGCAGTCCATACCCTCGCTGCATGGCTGCTTTGAACGTGATTTAGCTAGAGCAGGTTTTTCTGGTACGTACATGTGTGCTATTGCTACACGTGACTGCAGGTCTCTCAGCAACTGGTTGTTAGTTCCTTGCTCTTGAACAGCTGCTGAATCTGCTGCAAGTCTTTGTTTCAGCAGTTTTGAATAAATGTCTGTATTTTAACTAGACCCAGGACATTATTATCTGTTACTGTCTGTAAAGTAGCTTTTGTAACTGCTGGATTGCATCAGTGCAGTACGTCGTCTCTTTCCTGTGTGGATACATTGGCTAAAACTAAGAGGAGTCATGAAAACACATGTTGCTGGGAAAGGAGCAGAATTCCACGTAGCTATATATAAGTATATTTATATTTACGCTTTGCTCATTGCTTTTTGTTTTCCTTGGTTAAGTTTGACCAGAAAGAAAAAAACACATTGCTGGGGAACAGAAAAGACTACTGGGATTATTTCTGTGACTGTCTGGCAAAAGTCAAAGGAGCTAATGATGGAATCCGCTTTGTCAAGTCTATTACGGAAGTAAGTATATCAGTTAAGCATCATAATATGTGGTTTATGTTTGGTATGTTTTTTCAGAGAGTAGTAGAAACCAAAAGAGAATACACTGCTTTTAACATACGGCAAAAAAAAGTTGGGAATTTTTATTTTTAATTCTCATGTAAAATGGAACGTTACTCTTTTTAGTGGGGCACTAAATTATATAGGATTAGATAGCCTGACTCTTACTTACTTTGAAAACCACTTACACAAGTGAATGGTCCTTTTTGTCTCTGGTTGTGCCCCGCCTTTTCATAAACTTAGTGCCATTTTCTCTAAAAATGAATGAAAAATTAAGTCAAGGGTAGAGCCTGCCGTCTTTAGCACAACTTAAGGCAGGACTTGCTCTAAGAGTAAGAGGAAAGATTCACCATGTTTGACATTTCTTAAGACTTTTTCAACTGGTCAGTAGAGTTGAGGAGGACTGACTGAGAGCAGTGTTTCATCATCTGTCTCAACTTTGTTCCTCCATGTCAAATAGCATGATATAATGGCTCGGGATGGTTGTCATTATTCCCTCGGGTAAGCTGTCATTAACAGGAAAAAAAGCTTTATTTTTATTAGAGATAGTAATAAAAGCTTAATCTTGTAACAGCCATGTTATGTCTTCAGTAAAACGAGTGGGTGAAGTAAGTGCTGTGAGAACTTTCTGTGCTGATCCTGTCTGAGTCTTTAGAATAATTTGAAGAAGAACTTCCCTTGTGGGTAAAAGAGGCAGTGGTGTGGTGGTGCCAGCCAGCATTCTCCTGATGCTCAGTTCTGTTATCTGTGAGCAGTGCTAACTTGTATTAGCCAGTTACTATTTACAGCAGATTTCCTTATTCTCTTAGCAGCTCTAGATAATGTTGTCTTGAGCCATCTGAAAGAGAGCCATGATACTCTAGCAGAGGCAGGATCTGTGTTTCCTACCTCAGTTTCTTCTCTCAGCAGCTTATGCAACATTGAATTTTGCTGTTCCAAGACAAACAAGCCAAGGAAGGGGTCCAGCTTGTTTTACCACTGGGAAGGGAAACAGGGGAGAGCCATGGAAATTGGGTTTGACTTTCCTACTACTTCCAGGAAGACTGGAGAAGGACAGTGACTGCTCCTGCAGGAAAGATCCTCTGACTGTAGCTACTGGCCCCTAAATTCTCAGCAGCTGTAGCCAATCTGATTTCTCTGCAAAGGTGACTGTGCTGTAGCCTCAACAGTCTGTTGCCTGTGGTATCACCACATGTAAAGACTGCTCTGCTTTTTCCTCCTTCTTCAGTACCTCTGGGTGTTTAATGGTTAGCATGTTATCAGAAATTATTGTTTGGAAGAAGGACATTTTCTATTTCAGTTTCTGTGCAGCCATAGAAATTAGCTTGTGGAAGACTTCCTTTAACTTTATTAGCTTGTGGTTTAGGAATATGAACTCTAAAAAAAATCAGTCAACTGTTTCAGGTAACTGAGTTGGCAGACTCAGGACCAGAAATGAAGTGACAGATGACAGAAAAACATATTGGTTATTCCCCTTCATTACAAGTGGAAATCAGCAGCCAATTTTTGAACCTGGCTGCATAGAACATAAAGGTTTCCAAATGTCATTTATTTGCTCACTGAACAGTACTTGTTGACTTTCAATGATGGAAGTGAACGAGGAGGAAAGAGTAATGGCAGTTACTTTTTAAGAATGATCAAACATTCTTAAATATTAGGGTGCATGATATGCTAGAGAGGTGGAGCAAGGAAGCAAATAGGAACCCTGGAAACTGCCCAGCTGTTAATTAAACAGAGAGCCTTGTCCTTGATGGCATTAGGTGAGCAGTAAGTTCTGGTAGTTTCCCTTTCACTGAATACACATCTTTCCAAGTCTTACAGCCACACGTTGCACACGCTACATGCTACAGCCGTACATTGCACCTTAGCTATAGTGTTTGCAGTCAACATGGAAACACTGACACTACCAGACACTGCCTGCCTCCCTGAATTCTGGCAGGGCTCTAGCAGGAGGTGACATGGTTTTGCTTCCTAATCAAATAGTCTTTGGCTACTTGTAGCTGCAGATATGTAAATATTTTCCTCTACTTCTCGTCACGTACATCTGTTCTAGTATCTCCATGCTTAAAAAAGACACTGCGGTTTAAATTGATAAACCAATGGGAGTAAGGACAGGATTAGTTCAGTGGCTTCCAGTGGGGTTTTTTGACTGTTCTTAAGATACTCACTAAATATACCTAGTTAGGAAAAACACTCGTAAGCTTCTGTGCACAGGGCAGGGACGGCATCTCCCTGAAGAAATATTCAGACATCTACAGGGTGAATGAGGGCAAAAACCAGTTAGCAAATTAAATTTGCTGTTTCTGGGGTACTTAGCCTTTGGGGACCATGTTATTTCACACTTTGTGTCCTATAGAATTCAAAACAAAAAGCAGTAAAAGGTGTTGCTTCCTTTGCTCCACATTTCATCATTCCATTTATAAGGAACATTTTTGTATATAGTGGATTGCTGAGATAAACGAGGAACCTGTGCCTTGCTTGAGCGCAGAAGCCCAGTAGCAGCAAAATCAAGGAAACTGAGAGTTAACGTATCGCTCTCACTTCACCACAGTGGAATACGGGTCAGAAGGACAGAAAGCTTGTGGTCTTTCAGTCTTCTTTCGCACTAACTTTTCAAGCAAAATTTACAGTAAGCTCCTAACTTGAGTCTCAGCCCCTCTAATATTTTCCTTGGCTTCCATTTTTAAATCATTAATATAATTGGTTTGTTAGTTGGATGAGCAGTTTGGTTAGGAGCATGGCTGACTGGCAAGAAATTCTTTTCATCTCTTTCGTTTTCCATTCCTGAATTGATTACTGATTTTGCTAGAAAGGAGAAATGAAACACTACTGTTCAGCATTTCATTATTTTACAGGACAACAAATAGCTCAGATATAAAAGACAAAACAAAACATAAATTCCCCAAGTCAGTAGCTATAACAAAATTCAGTGGAGTTTTGTGATCCCCTTTATGTTGATTTAACAGCTGTCTTCATAAAAAGTTCCATTAATTTCAGTCATGCAGCTGCTCTTGGTCTGAACTAAGAATTAGATTTTTATCAACTTAACAGCTAAGTATTAAGAAAGACTTTTTGCATCATCTGGGGTTACTATGTCCATGGGGATGTATATTTGTATATGTGTATATCTTTGTTCTATGATTAGATCTGCCCTAAAGCTCTTCCAGCTGCGGCCAGACACATCTTAAGTAACCTAAGCAGTCACTTCTGGCTTTGCCGGGCGCATTGAGATTTTGCCTTATATTGGGAATTGCCCATCATATTAGATGATTCTTGGTCTTGTGACGCCTTTTATATTATTATAAAGTGGACAACAGCCAGCTGTAGATACAAATTCGATATTCAGAAAAGATTCCACTCAATGACAGTTTTGGGAGAACATGTCTCTCAGTGGCAGTTCTTAACTGCTTCCTTTACAACTAGTGGCTTATTGTGGGGTTTTTTGTGTCAGTATGTAGACTGTTCTGGCCATGTCTCTACAGGATTACAAATTACATTTAGAATTTTCTTTTCATGTGGTTTCTCCCTTCCAGCTACGAACATCTCTTGGAAAAGGAAGAGCATTTCTTCGTTACTCCTTGGTTCACCAAAGGCTAGCAGACACCCTGCAGCAATGTTTTATGAACACCAAGGTGACCAGGTGAATAGCAAAGTACCTTGTTGATTAATGGGTGTTTGCTCAGTGTGATCAAGCAACATCACTTAGTAGCTATTGAAAGATATTGAAACCCTTCCAAATGGTTGGCTTAGAGAGCTAGTAATAAGATAGGAAGGATAATAGACCTTTTGGCCTGGGTCACTGGTTCATACCTATCTTAGGCTGGTAAAGGTTGAAAGTTGTTACAGCTACATGTGTGTGGAGTGAGTGGTGCTGATGCTTCTATATGTCATTTTCAAAGGTGACATTTTTGTAAGCATTGAAGATCCTGGGTTTGATCTTCTGTGCTGTACATCATAAGGGAGGATTGATTTGGATGTGTTGTGCAAAGCCCCAGAAAGCATTTGCGTATATCTCTGGATTGTCACACAGAGGAACAGCTTGCCCCTGGCCAAGGAACACTGAAGATAGTTTGTAGTTGGTTGGAGGGACACTGGTAGGGCTTTTAGAAAAAGCCAACTATTTGCACAGTGTATTTAACTCTGGCTACTGCTTTCTGTCCCTCATTTTTGATGTATTAAGTGTGTGCTTTCGGTATTTACTGTGTGATTATCCAGTCTATAGCAAATATTTTGTCTTGCCAGCGTTTTGCCCAAGCACTAGAGCAAAAAATATTTTGTGCAGGGGCTCCTTTAAAGATATTTCTGTGGAATTCATTGAAGCGGTTTGATTTCATTTACAAGGGATGGGATGTTGGTTGGTGGGTCTGGTTGTTTTCAGTTTGCGTTTAGAATAGCGTATCATAATTTTTCTGGGGTAGAGTGAATAATGATGTTGTGGGGTTTTTTTGCAAGTGAAACTGCTGCTTCTTTTTTACTTATGAATGAGTATTACTTAATTTTTTTTGCTTTCAAGTGACTGGTACTATGCAAGAAGTCCATTTCTGAATTCCAAAATGAGTTCTGACATTGTGGGTCAACTCTATGAGCTCACTGACGTTCAGTTTGACTTGGCATCAAGAGGCTATGATTTAGATGCTGCTTGGCCAGCATTTGCCAGGTAAGATAGAAACACTTTGTCATTTTTTATTAAAAGGGCCATAAAATACCTGCCTGCTACAGAATCTGTAAAAGCTTCTGCTTTTGAAGGTAGGAATACTTGTGTTAGAGCCGGCATGCACTCTCTCCATGTAATCGGTCTATGACCAAATTGGCCTTTTTTTCCTTCAATAAACTGTGTACCAGAGAACAGAGTTTAGAATAGTTTGGATTGGAAGGACCTTTAAAGGTCATCTAGTCCAACCCTCACCATGGGCAGGCACAGCTTCAACTAGGTCAGGTTGCTCAGAGCCCTGTCCAACCTGACCTTGAATGTTTCCAGGGATGGGGCATCTACCACCTCTCTTGACAGTGTTTCAACACCCTCATTGTAAAAAATTTCTTCCTTATACCTAGTCTAAATCTACCCTCTTTTAGTTTAAAATCCTTCCCCTTTGTCCTGTCACAACAGGCCTTGCTAAAAAGTTTGTCCCCATCTTTCTTATAAGCCCCCTTTAAGTACTGACAGGCCGCAATAAGATCTCCGCGAAGCCTTCTCTTCTCCAGGCTGAACAACCACAACTCTCTCAGCCTCTCTTCATAGGAGAGGTGTTCCATCCCCCTGAT